TGTTGGCCATGGTTTTGGGCAAATCATCCCCAGAACTCTCCAAACCTCAATTTCTTCATCTGTAAAGGACTGGTGTATGTATCATATAAGATAATGTATGTAAAGTCCTCAGTAAAGTTTCTGGCACATAATGAGTGTCCAACATTTGGCAATTTTTATTATTTTTTTTAAAGATTTTATTTGTTTATTTGACAGAGAAAGACAGTGAAAGAGGGAACACAAGCAGGGGGAGTGGGAGAGGGAGAAGCAGGCTTCCCGCCAAGCAGGGAGTCTGATACGGGGCTTGATCCCAGGACCCCAGGATCATGACCTGAGCCGAAGGCAGACACTTAACGACGGAGCCACCCAGGCGCCCCTACTATTTTTTTTCTAAAACTAGCTTTTTAAAAATTAATCTATGATCCCTGCCAAAAAAAAAAAAAGGAGGAGGAGGAGGGGAAAGAAGGAAGAAAGAAGGAGGGGAGGGAGAGAGAAAAGAAAGAGGTATGTGTGAGAGACCATTATATTAAAAATTCAGATGAATCTCAAAAATCCTCCTCTAATAATTTGAACGTGCCCTGGATTGCCTTTGCGCCAGGAGAACTCTCCAAGAGCACCTGTATGGTCAGTTGTTGGCAGTAAAACCTCATGATATTTTTTAAATGGCTTTTTGCTGAGTCTTGGAAAAAACTCAGACTTAGGTCACTTGATTATCCATGTATCCCAAGAGCAAGGACCCTCTTGTGAGTGGTAAAAACTTAAAGATACTTCCAGTCCAGCCCTTGTCAATTAGCTCACCTCTCAATATTTTCCGGCTATAGTTGTATTCTAGCTAGTTTCATCAAGGTAGGATCACACTGGGACCTTGTTAACCAAACTGTTACCATTAATTTTAAACATATGGTGTCATTTTCTACCTCTGCACTGCTAGATGTTAATATATATTTTTTATTAAAAGGGTGGCAAAATTAAATAAGTTTGAGAAACCTTTATTAATCTTAGCAGGCCACGGTGCATTCGTATATCCTAAGTTTGGAGAAGTCAGTCCTAAATAAAGAAATCTGCTTACCTTTGTGCAATTTAGCACTGTGCAGGCTTATTGGGCTTTATACAAAGTTTAAAAGACTGTCATGTGTAGCAACTAGAACCATGACCATGGTAGGTACTGAACAGAAGATATGTGGAAAGACCAATGCCCCCTAGAGAAGTTAGAGGTCCTCTCCTTTGCAGTTGACCATGCAGTTAAAATGTTGACTACCTGAATTTGCTTGGATGTGGTATACAACAGCCCCCAGTGTGTTCTCATGAATACAAGGAGTTACTTCAATGTATGTGGAGGGCAGCAGGCATGAAAACAGAGCAAGATGGTGTCATATAATTATGTAAGAAGATAAAAATTTAAAAGTTTGAATTGTCAACTGACTATATCCCATAAGAAGTGCAAATTCTTGATAACCTGTGTTTGTGTAAACTGAGTATTTAGAGCTCTGATCCATCAAGCACTACAGAAGTTTTTAAACAGTAATATTTTTTCTCAAATTGCAACAATAATTGTTAGTTGTTAATTATAGAATCTGGGTGGAGGGTATATGGCTGCTCATGGTAAAATTAATTCAACAATCCTGTAAGTTTATAATAAAATATTGGAAAAGATATAACTGCATATAACTTTTTTATCCTGAAGTACAATAAAATTTAATATAGTTTTTATATTCTTTTTTTTTTAAAGATTTTATTTATTTATTTGTCAGAGACACAGCGAGAGAGAGAACACAAACGGGCAGTGGGAAAGGGAGAAGCAGGCTTCCCGCCGAGCAGGAAGCCCGATGCGGGGCTTGATCCCAGGACCCTGGGATCATGACCTGAGCCGAAGGCAGACGCCCAACGCCTGAGCCACCCAGGTGCCCCTAGTTTTTATATTCTTCATTTCAAGTTGAAATACTGCTTACCCACTCAAATTAAGTTTTAAATCATTTTGATCTAGGAAACAAGACTATAAATGGATATTAATGAACCTGAATCAGCAACAGGAAATGGCTTTGTATAAACTGTTGCAAAAATGTTTACAAGACAGAGGTAGATTCTAATCATGAATGTACAGCACATTAATGCTAATTTTTTACAGGGTTGTTATTATGCCCTTTTCACAGATGGGTAAACTGAGATATAAAACCCTAAGCAAATCACTGACACAGCTAGGATCCCTACACTGTCAAACGCTCTCTACTCTTCATCGTGGAAGTTCATCCATAACTAAAAAAGTACGTCACTTAATTTAAAGATTCACCAGTACACTATGTTTGTGTATAAATGAGAAAGATTATATAATTCAAATGAGTGTAAATAAGATGCTATTATGACTTGCTTGATCTGTACTTGCCAAGGCTTCTTTATTCTAAAGCTGGTTATAGCGCCAGGATGCAGATATACTCTAAACAAACAATGCTTCTCTTTTTTCATTCTTATACTTGTTGACTTTAATTCTGGCAACATCTACTTTTAGTCACAAGTCTGTGAAGTAACTTCATTTTAATACATTTAGAAATGCAAAGGATGATGATATTTCTTAAAATGGAAACAGCAAACAATGAATTCTTAATAATGGCATTTTTTTTTTAGAAATCAAGAAATTTAGACGTCTTTCAGGACCCATAAATGAGAACTATACAATGCTTCTTACATCATCAACATGTGTTACTGTCTGAACCCCAGGGGAATCCTTCATAGCAAAACCTATTTGTATTGTGGAACAAATCAGGTCTTGAATGCCAATGAGAATGACTTAATTTTGTATGTCTGTTTCTCCATAAAATCTGAAAATTTTAGATTCTTACTGAAAGGTCAGAACATTTTACTTTTGCATGGATGGTTTGGCTTCTTGGGCTCACTGTACCAACACCATCCTGTCAAGGAATCTTCAAAACAGCATTTGGGAAGACCTTTTTGAAGTCTTTGAGCCAAAATGTACATAAAATGCTTTTACTTTAAATGAAAACAATTGTGGCCCCTTTGTTTCAAAGTTTGAGCTACACCCAGGACCAGTGCTAGGCTTGGCATTTTGGGAGTGAGATGATAGCACAGTCCTTCTTCCAGCTCCGCTGAGCTCACAAAAGACTTACTCATTACTCTGTATTTATTTAATAGTGTTGTGCATTTTTTTTCTGGCCTATTTTTAAAATGTCATTAATTTTTTTTTCTGATTGAAAAAGTTTACATTCACTTCAAATATATGGAAAATATAGAAATATAAAGAGGAAAATAAACATAACCAGTAATAAGCATTATTAACATTTGGTATGCTGTTTCACTATCAAAATCTATTTCTGAGACTCACCACTGAGCGTGGAACCTGATGCAGGGATCGATCTCATGACCCTAAGACCATGACCTGAGCAGAAACCAAAAGTCAGATGCTCAGCTGACTGAGCCACCCAGGCACCCCTATTTCTGAGTTCTAATAAAAACTTCATTTTTTACCCTGGTGCAAAAAAAAAAAAAATTAAATGGAATGAAATTTGATCTATTTGGTTCTGAATTTGGAGAACAAGAGTTTGGAAAAGAAGGTACCTATACAGCTTTCTATTGCTCTAAGTATATACAGATAGCTAGAATGATATTTTTGAAAAAGTAATGTATTCATTTTTATAAAACTTACCTCATATTTTTAAGTAGGTTAGGCCATATAGGTTAGACAAAACAGAGTTTCAGCATCTATTGATAACATCTCCTTTCTCCTACTTCTTAAAATTTCTGAAACTGTGGCCTTATATATTTTTTAATGTAATGTTCTTAAAATGTACCTAATGTCTACTGTCGTAAAATAAATGCCTCTTTGTAATGACAGCTTAGAAGAACATACTGAAATGATATAAATGTTACACTGTTTAAAATTTAAAATTAGAGCTAATTTTTTATCCATAATATAAATCAGTATTAGGTGTTCAAGTATACATTTTTAATTGTTATAAACAAAAATAATAACACTGCCGAGACTAACCTCTGTGTTAACAAATAAACTACTTGTTTGCTTTCTTTCGTAAATGTTCAAGTTTCTTTTTGAATCGCATCAATGAACAAGGAAGCCAAATCCGGTTTCCCAGAGACGAATCATTAAGGACAGAAATAGTTTCCTGAACACAGGAAATCTGTAAGCACCTAAACAAGGACAAGCAGACTCCAGGGAAAAAGACAATGTTACCAACATGCTCCTTCATGTCTGGCCACAGAAACCACCATGGATATTTAAAAGCATACTGATCAGGGAAAGGTAAAATATAACCATTTGCTTAAAGAAAAATCACACTACTTATACATGTAACATATCTAACCCAAACCAAAATTTAATGTGTATCTAAGTCCCAAGAACGAAAATTCAAATTTCCCTTTAACTATATCCAGTATTATGCAATAGCATCACTATTAGCAATTCTCTTTTTAATGAACAAAATTTATTGGTGTGCAAAGTCATACTTTAAGAAATGTGTAGGGTAATAACCAGAAATCAAAAGCTCCATAAGAATATTACTCTTAGAGTACCTTAGTAGCATAATGTAAATCTGAAAGTCTTGGATTATACAAATTGAAATTAGGTAGTATTTCTTGAAGCTCTGAGAACTTCACCTTTATACCTAAAAATTCTTTCACAGTTAGTTATATGTATATTGGGCAGGCAGGAGGGAGAAGATGCAAGAAGCGAGAAGGAGAAAGAAGCTTTAGAAAGAAAAGAACACTACTCAAACATTTTTTCATCCATCATCCAAAAGAATGACCAACACCTTCATTTTAAATAACAAAAAGAACAATTGTGAGAGGTTTCCTCATTCAAGGAACACTCAGTGTAATCTACAAGTAAAGCTGAACTGTGGAGCCTTAAAATGAAAGTAATAAGTTTACACATATCTGCGTTAGCAAAATTTTATATGCTACCACCTCTTGTAGGTCATGCTTTTCCACTAGAGGCCCGGCATTGAAAACATCAACTGATGCAGGTATTTTTAAGAACATAATGAGTCAGTTCCTACCTCTACATAGTCCTTGGCATGGCCCCAATCTCGTTTGGCATCCAGATTTCCCAAGCTGAAACATTCCAGTTGTCCAAGGTAAATCTTAGCCACTGACCGGCTAATTTTTCGAGTAACAAAATTAGCTCCTAAAAAGAGAGAAAAAGGTGTATTATCAGCATTGTACATTTGACATTTAACAGTTTGGTGAACCAAACCCAATCTCAGCCTCTGGGCATTTCTTTTCATTTTTATCCCCCCTTCTTTAAAATAAGAATAAAAGAAACCCATCATTAACCGTCATTTAGATAAGTTAAGAAGCTCTAATTCCAAGTGTCACATCAGCTCTACTTTCATAACAAACATTTTTCTTTGGGGGACGTCTTAACATTCCTAATTTGCTGCTGCTATATGTGACCCAGGCATTAGGCCAAAGAAAAGCTATTGGAATGCCAGTTTTTAAACAGAAAATTCAAAAGGGTTGTATAAAGGGAAATGCCAGAATGGAAGACAGACATCTAAGACCACCCTGATTTTTTTTAAGAACATAAACAGCATATGTTCCTATTAATAAAGCTATTTTGGGCCTCATGGGGAAAGGGAGAGGAGAGTAACTTAGCACACAGGGTATAACTAGTTAAAGGAAACAAACAAATGCATTTGGGTTGCCAATAAGTGGTGATCTTTCTTCTTTAGAAACCTGCAAAGCTATCCAATTATAAATTATGACACAGTTCCAAGTCAAAAGTTTCTCTGTACTATACTTACTGAAATGCCACCTTCCAAATTCACTTCAGTGCTATGTACAGAAATGGTCTCCTGAACTGTGCATAAATATTTTGAAACAATTGATGAAAGGCACCATAAATTGAAGACAGAAGTGAAATTGTTTTATATTCTTTGGTCTTTAATGAAAGCCTCTACTTTAAAAGATTACAGAGAAGGACAAAATTAAAAGACACTTCTGAGATGATTTTACCCATGCCTCTGTTTCTAGGTAAGGTTATCACAAGCACCAGGTAATGCCAAATTCTCAAGGTAGTAACACACATAAAGTCAATAATGGCTGCATACAGTTTAGATAGATTACTATCATAATTTATCACATTTCAATAACTTTAGCTTTGTTCTTTTTCAGATTAAGCAGGGAGGTGAGTTATGATGAAAGCTTTTGGCTTCTAGAGAAACTGGCATAGGGATAAGGGGAATTTTTCTAAAGAGGTTTACTAAATTTTGGCAAGAACACAGCCTAAGGCAAGTAGAAACAGATACTAGATCACTTACTACAAAAATTTGGTATACACATCTATACCAATGCCATCATTAAAAATGACAATAGGATTTCCATGGAAATCTAAAATTTTCAGTTTCTCTTAGCAGCTGATGGAGTATGCTGTGCTTCTTCCATGGCAGTTTATAAAACACAGAAATCCTTCAAAAAAGAGCCTTTAGAAATGAAAAAATATTTAATAAGAGCAATCCTTCTCAATCTGCTACCCATTAGCAATCTTTTATTCTCTACTGACTTGTAACAAATAAATTTAAATTTATAATTAAATGTAGATTTCTTAATGTCTATCTTTCTATTTTAATAATAGGACTATACTATGATTCCAAATATACTAGATAAATGAGTGATACCATATAATTAGATGAAGTTCCCAACATAAAACAGTTCAGATTATCCTCTTTACTGGTAAGCAGATGCTTAGGGCTCCTATGGAAGCATGTGACCATGTTCAAACAATCTATCTAGGCCCTACCCTTACTGTTCAGTCTTTCAAACAGTATTAACTGAGCACCTACCAAGCACAGAGCCCTGAGCTGGGAAACTTGGGAGTGAGGCAGCAGCCCCTACTCTCAAGTAGCACCCAGAGGGTAAGACAGACAAATAAATCAGGGCTGCCAGAAGTGAGATGACAGATTTGCAAGAACTGAAACAGTCAAGCCTGGTAACTCAGTGGCTGAATGTGGTCAGGAAACACCCACCAGAGAAGCAGCCTGCCCTGCGGTCATGAAGGGTTTAATTAAGCTGTGAGACAGGGACGGTGCTCCAGGCACATGCAAAAGCAGTGCAGGGGCTTATGAGCAGGCCTTTGTCTTTAAGTCTTTATCACAACACCTCTGACAATGGCTATCACTTTTAGCACTGTGCTAAGTGCTACTCCACTGATCTATATATCTATCCTCATGAGAGTATCACACATTCTTGATTACTTTAGCTTTACAGTAAGTTTTAAAATCAGGAAGTGTGAGGGGCGCCTGGGTGGCTCAGTTGGTTAAGCGACTGCCTTCGGCTCAGGTCATGATCCTGGAGTCCCTGGATCGAGTCCCGCATCGGGCTCCCTGCTCAGCAGGGAGTCTGCTTCTCCCTCTGACCCTCCCCCATCTCATGCTCTCTCTCAAATAAATAAAATCTTAAAAAAAATAATAAAAATCAGGACGTGTGAGTTTTCTGACTTTGCCCTTTTTTAAAGATTGTTTTAGCTATTCTCAGTCCCTCGAATTTCTGTATGATTTTTAGGTTCAGCTGGTTAACTTCTGCAAAAAAGCCAACTGTGATTTTGATAGGGATTGTGTTGAATCTGTAGGACAATATGAAGAATACTATCATCTTAACCATATCCTGTCTTCTAGTTTATGAACACAGGATGTCTTTCCATTTACTTAGGTCTTTTGAAATTTCTTTCATCAATGTTTTGAAGTTCCCAGAAAATAAGTTTTGCTTTTGTTTTGTTAAATTTGTTCCTAAGTACTTTATTCTCTTTGATGTTATTATAAATGGAATTGTTTTCCAAATTCCATTTTCAGATTAATTTTAAACATTATTGCTACTACCATTTGTTTCCCTAATTAATCTTTGGAGAGGCTTAAAATTATTATTTTTAAAAATTTGCTCCTTTCATTTTTAAGCCTTATCACACAAGACTGAGGTTTTTAGGAGAGAACTATATAAAATCATTATATATTAGAGTGAGACTGAGAGGCAACTTTGCCCAACCATCCCAAGTGTGCAGGTGGAGAAAGAGAGGCAGAGAGGCTCAGCAAAACTGCCCAACAGTCAGGACCAGTAGGTGAGCCTGATTCCAGTCTGTCTTGCTTGCTTTCCCACCTGTGCAATGCAGGAAGCATCCTTCCTCAGATTAGGTTTAAGTGGTTATGCATCATTAACACATCAATAAATGGACCTCTCGCGGGCCGCCTGGGTGGCTCAGTTGGTTAAGCGACTGCCTTCGGCTCAGGTCATGATCCTGGAGTCCCTGGATCTAGTCCCGCATTGGGCTCCCTGCTCGGAGGGGGGTCTGCTTCTCCCTCTGACCCTCTTCCCTCTCATGCTCTCTGTCTCTCATTCTCTCTCTCTCAAATAAATAAATAAAATCTTTAAAAAAAAAATAAATAAATAAATAAATAAATGGACCTCTCGCAATTATTTTAAATGCATACTTCATTTCTAAGAGCCTTAAACTAGAAGACCTTAGCTAGGAAGAAGACCTAGAAATGAAAAGTTAGCCCAATGACCAAAGGCCAGCTCTGTTAGCTACTAGCTATAGTATTTTGCACCAACCATTTAAAAGCTCTGAAGTTACAGTCTCTTCTATAAACTACCAGTATAGTAATACTTGCCATGTCAAATCACAGGATATGTTAATGTAGGTGAAACAACGCTGTAGAACATAAATCATTACTGAAATGTAAGGAATTAGTATCATCACATCCTCGTTTGTAAAACATGATAATAACAGGTACTTGCCATGTAGATTTGATGTTTAAGTGAGAAAATCTAGGTAATATGATTAGCAAGTTCTAAATAAATGTTAGCTATTATAATTATTACATTACAATGTTAATGGTATCTATAATTAAGCCTCAATGAAAAGTTCAGGCTTCTTAGTTCTTTTATGACTAGGTCTCTTAATTCTCTGATTTTGAAAATCTGAGGTTGAGAACAGATCTAAATAAAGAGCCCATTTCAAATGTATAGACTCACACACTGAAAGCACTAATAAACATTTCTTAAACCATTGCAGGTTACTTTTTCAATATAAACTCATTAACATAGAAAAAAAAAGAGTGGCCACATAAATGTATATCCATAAGAAAAAGATAAATTACGATGAATTTTAGTTCAAATCTTAGTTCTAAGACTGAGATCATGAGTTTTGCTAGCATTGACAGAATGAAAAGAACAGAATTTCCATTTTGACAATATAGGATACAAGAAAAACTGCCACATTAAAAAACACCAAGCTATGCTGTATAAAATATTCGTATTATTTATTTAAACTCAAAGCTGAGTCTCCAAGAAGTACTCAAGTGAGGCGAAAGCTCCAGAGCACAGGTCTGGGTGGGCACTGAGGGTTCTGAGCTAAGAACATGACTGGAGCACTGTCTCAGGACCTGGAAACAGGCTTCAGCTTTAATATTGAAGCCGAGGCAAAGGATATGGCCTTGGAGGTAGAACACTGAAAGTAGGGTTATACACTATGTGAGTTATTAATAATTCTCTTCCTTTTATAAGTGCAATAATCTTAAATAAGCATTTTAACTTTTCAGTTGCCTTAACTATAAAATGGGATAATAATCCATATTGAGGACCTAATAAGATACTATAGTTCAAAGGCTGTAGAACACTCTATCATTGTAAAGTACTTCTATGAGTTACAAATGTTTGTGAGGCCTTTTTCTTTCACATTTGTCTTTATGTGACCTTCTCCACAGTTAGCCCAAGTCTGGGAAAAGATTAGGAGAGCTACTTCAGATAGTCAAAAAGAAAGTTAATATTCACCCCTATCATTCAAAATAGGATTCTGTACCAAGATAGTTAAGTCTGAAAACAAGGTTTCATGGAAAAGTAGTTTTCTAAATAATTTTAGTGTATCAAAAGCCAAGAGTGGTCACAACCCAAAGTTTCTCCCAGGTTCTGATGGGCAGGCATGTGGACTGTGGTTCTTGTGGAAAGGACCAGAAGAAGTGACAGGAGGGGTTCCCAGGCCACCCTGGGCAGTGGAGAAGCATACGAACAGAGGCGGGAGAGGTGAGTCTTTGGTGTACCAACCCAGCTCCTTGGGATAACAAGTAAAGGATACTGAAGAAATCATTGAGAGGAGGAGCCTGCACTGTACTCCATGCTGGAGAGTCTGGAGAAATC